CGTCCTTCTCTTTGCCCCCCCAACCGCCGCCGCCGCCGCCCCTCTGGTCGCGCCCGAGTCATCCGCCCGCGGCCTTTTTAATGCCTTCTCGGCGCCCGCCTCGCCCTCGCCCGTCCCGCCGCACACCCGCGCCGTGTACAACGCCACCACCGCCTCCGCCCGCGCCGCCGCCATGCAGAGGCTCCCCCGCTACGCCGCCGTCGGAGAGCTTGGCGAGTGCCGCGACCCCGCCAGGGAGGCCGCGCGCAGGGCCCGCCATGTCCGCGCCCCGCCGGAACCAGACCCCGCCCGCGCGGCACGCCCCACTAGGATCGTCATGCGCCGCAGGCTCGTCAGGGGCTCCACCACCTTTAGACGCGCCACGGAGGAGGAGCTGGAGGACCTGCTACAGAGGGAAAAGTATCGCGAGATGGAGGTCCTGGACGACTGTCGTGTCGACGTCGCTCCAGGCGGCCGGGAGGAGAGCCCCGCTAAGAAGGGCTATCATTTCACGAGGAGGGGCGTAAGGAGGATGAGCTCGCTCTTGTTGAATAGGCACTTGTATATGGATCCCATTGACAACGATCACTTGTTGGACGTCGCGGAGCTGGCTTCTATGGATGAGCGCGCCGCTGTCGCTGTCTTCCTGAAGCGCTATAGAGCCTGCCAGAACGACTTGCTTACTTCGCTGCACCACAAGCTCGCAGACCCCCGCTCCATGGATAAAAATGCCCCTGCTACGCTAGGGAAGAAGAAGGACTCGAAAAAGGATCGCCTGGTCAGGGATCGCAAGCAACTCCCTCAAGGGACCGACGTCCACTTTTATCACAAGTACCTCTCCCAGCGCCGCGCCATGAGCGCTGACGACCCGGGCTTGATGCGCGCTTTGCTAAGGCAGGAGCATCTGCTCGAGTCGCATGCCTCGGCCAAGAAGGCAAACCAACACTCTGCCAAACTCGTCAAAAACAAGCCCAAACCCCCCGCCGAGGAGGACACGCTACCACTGCACCACGACGACGAGTATGACCGATTCGATCGCGAGCGCTCGCGCTCAGAGATGGGCATCCCCGCCACAGACAAGCATTCGCGCGTCCTCGACGACCGCTGGCGACGCGTCCTGAGCAACTTTGCTCGCTTCGAGACCACCCTCGTCCCCATCACCAAGCACGGGAAGACCAAGCTCTTCCCGGCCCTCACATCGCGTTCCTTTCTGTACGGCCACAGCGAGCCGTCCTCGCGCCGGAAGACGGACAGCAGCGGCATGGAGCGCCGTGCCACGCGCATGAGCACGCCCGATGAAGACGACGACTTCAATCCCAGTGCTATGCGCATCCTCACCGCCATCGAGCCCGTCGACCCCAGCTTGGCCATGGATGACACCAACGCGCGCAGGGGGACCAGCTATCACATCGGCTGCTTGCAATCGGGCACGTTGCGGAATAAGCGCCGCCTCATTCCGAGGGGGCTGTGGCGGGACGCCGATCTGGAGAATAATACAGGCATATTGAGAAAGTTGCGGTCGTTTAGGTTGCGGGGGGAGGACGGACGTTGACACGGGCGTCTGCTTGATAACGGTGGAGGGTGCGGTGGGGAGCCCCGCTAGCTTCGGGCTCAATTGAGATGAACGTTTTTTCTATAAAAAAAAACGGTTCGCGTTTGACGGTGCAATCGCGATCGCAGCCTTTGTTTAAAGCCTTCCCTCAAGAGGATGGGAACCCCTCGGCATTTGACTCCCGAGGGTGTGCCTTCTGATTGCGGTTAAGCCCGACACCCTGACCTGTCGTGCGTACTCAGACAATATCAGCAACACTCACGAGCCAAACCTAGGCGCAACATCAGATCGCAGCTACGATTCGAGGTACAAGCTAATGTGCATGGGCCTCGCCTTAAGTCGGCCGTAGTACTCTTGGACGACGGGGTGATCCAGCAGCCCCTCGTCGCAAGAATCCACCCACATCAAAATGTACCCAAACATGAAGTCAGCGGCCGACAGCTTTTCCCCCAGGTAATACTTCCTCCCCGCATCCCCGATCTCCCTCACAATATGGTCGATCACGACCGTCTTAAACTTGCCCGTAACTTCCTTCCACCTCTCCGCGTCCCTCTCCTCGCGATCCAGTCGCACCAGCTTCGGCGTCACACTAAAGCACATGAGAAAGACGGCGAACGCCGCCTTGTAGCACTCGGACACCACGTAGAACAGCGCCTGCAAGAACCTCGCGCGTTCCGGCCCCACCTTGGGATGCAGCGTCCCTTCCCTGTCGAACGTCTCCAAGATGTACATGACGATCGCGCCCACCTCCGTAATGCATGTCCCGTCGGGCAGGGCGAGCGCCGGCACCACGCGACGTGGCGAGACGGCCAGAATCTCGGGCCCCGTGCGCAACTCAACGATGGTCAGCGTGACGACGGAGAGCGCTGTCGGCGGGATGGACAGCTCGGCTACAAGCTGCGCGGCGATCGATGAGCAGAACCAGGGGACGTGGTACAGCGTGGGGAGGAAAGGGGGCGCCATGATCGGATGAGGGAAAACGAATGTGGTGGTGGCGAAGCGTTTCGGTGTCGGAAAGGTCGCTACAGCGCAGACATGCCGTGCGCTTGCTGAAGCTATTTATCCGGAAACGCGAGGCGGTCGCGATGGGGTGGGAGCGATTGCATCCTGGACTTGCGTTGGAGTCGAAAGGTGGGAGGGAGGGTTTCGACGTTCAATTGACGAATCAGGTCAGGGAGGTTGGATTCGATGGTACCGTTCTCACTGGTTTAATTCTGGACACTTTCCAGAAATGCAAAAATCAACGTTTTTACCAATCAGACCAAGATTTTTTTTGCCATTCCTGAGCTATTAGATTTTTACCTTGATCTTTCGATGGGGCGCCTTCTCGCTTGTTGCGAAGAAGTCGACCCCTTTCTTCAATGTTCCTCTTTCCAATCCTAACACTGTCAAGCGTAGCTGAGGGACTACCTAAGAGAGGAACATGACGGACATCCGTGCTAGCCGTACAAGTTCCATACCCCAAAAGTTGAACACGTTCCCAAAAGTTGAACAAAGCAAAAATTTGTAATTTTTATTGACTAGAGTACCATTTCAAGTGCGGATAGCTCTCGGTTGCAACAACATTCAATTCAGCGATGAAACTGTCAGCTAAATATAAATACAAATCTCAGAATCAAGTCTGCCGCCCTCCGTTTTCATGGAATACATCCTTCAACAGGTGTGTTCCAATGCTGGGAACAGCCCAACTCAACTTCAAACCGCACCGATCTGTCTCCTCAGTGCACTGTAGTGTCGAGGCATGAAGTCTCGCAAGACTTCCAAACCTGAGCGTCTATTTCTCAAAGATGTTGAGGCTGTAGAGAACAGACAGGCGACTCGCCGTGAGGCCGACATAATTGCAAGATTGCCTCTCTCAACATTCCAATACCGACTGCAAAAAAATCCCAACCTCAAGCAAGGCTCAAATTTTTGTCGGCAGCGGAGGAAAACACTGTAGTCGAACCCATTGCTCGCTATGCTCACCATGGATTTAATCTTCGACGTAATGATGTTGCCCTCGCCATCCAGGATCTCGTGACTTCTATGCCTTTAGAACGACAGAGACGTTTACCATTCAAAGATGGTAAACCTGGGCAAAAATATTTAAAAGCTTTTGCCCAACGACATGCAAGCCAAATCAAGTTCGGAAGGGCCTCCCTACAAGAACAGGCAAAGTGGCGTGCGACGAATGCTGACAATCTTACCAAACATTTTGCTCGATTAGAGGCAATTATCCAAGAGCACAACATTGACGCGCCGCGAATAGCTAACCTCGACGAAACTGGAACCACTCCTGATAACGACTGTACTAGGTCGCCTCGAACTAAGAGCTACTGCCTTCGTGGAAGCTACGCGCAACAGCAGGCACCTAAATTTTCTAACGTCAAGCGCATCACCGTGATGCCAGTTGTTTTTGCAGACGGTCATGTCGGGAGACCTTTATTCGTAATCCGGGGCACACCACTTAAGTTTCGGTTTGTTATCAAAAACGGTATCAGGGTTATGGAGACTGTAGCCGACTGCCTTCCCCGTGACAGCTTGATTACAACAAGACAAGAAGTGGAAAGTGTCGACTCACATAATTTCTACAACTGGGCTGCTGTCTTTGCCGAAGACATGAAGGGACTGACGGATAACGGTAGAAAGGTTTTGCTCATTCTTGACGGGTATCGCTGCCACATGGCCTACCCAATTCTAAAATTGCTTGAAACTCATGGTATCATCGTGTATGCCCTCCCCGCGCATACCAGTGGGAGCACCCAGCCGCTCGACGTCAGCGTATTTGGTCCATTTAAAGAATATTTACGAAACTACATTGAAGAGCTCGCCACTCCCTCTTCTACCAACGTTTATGATGTTTTTGATTACTTGAAGGCAATGAGAGAGGCTTGCGGATTAGCATTCACTAGGAAGAATGTGCTCTCTGGATTTGAGAAGTCTGGAATTTGGCCGCTCAACTACAAAGCTTTGCTGAACACTCCCCGACCTGCATCTACAATCAACACGTACAAAATTTTATCGGTTTGCCAATTGGAAGAACTAATGGAGGGGCGTCGAGCTAGGAGGAGAGAAATTATGGGCATCCAACCTGTTGTCACCAAGTCTGGTTTTGTAGACACAACTAGTGGCCTCCTGTTAACGAGCCCTCAGGCCATGGTATTGGCGAACCAAAAGCACAAGAACGATACGCTAAGGCTGGCCGCAAAAGAAAGGAAACTAGCAGATTCTGCTCGGAAAGAAGCTGAAACTAGCGATCGTGTGCGTGCGGAGCGTTTGCGACATGATGCAAAAGCATTGGCGTTTAGAATTAAGCGTTATGGTGTGTGCGATAGAGCTCCAAAGCCGTTAACGGTTCGTCGTCAAATTGCCAAGGAGCGAACTGCTGCGATGAAGGAACGCTCTGCCAAGTTGGCAAACATGCAAAGCACCCGAGATTCAATCTCAGACAGTTAATTTGGGAATATTTTTGGATGCTTTATTTGCATCAGCCAATAAATTTTGTGTTCAAGTTTTGGGTTCTATTGGAGACCAATTTGGATGGCATGGAATGAGGAACCAATGGACGGACTCTGTCGCACCTGTTTTGATTGAGATGAGAGGGAATCTGTAAACAGATTCCCTCCACTCTAACCTTTCTATTGCACCTGAGACGGCCATAATCGAGTATTTTTAAGATTATATTCCAAAGGTGACTGTTGATCTGTTCAAAATTTGGGGACCCGAACTTGTACTGCATAGTCCCGTTATGGCTTCCAGCTAGGAAGTCTTTGTGATATATCGCAAATACAATTACGATCCTTATCGATCTATCCAGGCTCACAAAATACCACGAGCTAAATATCCAAGTAGAGCCATCTGCTCTATTCTGACACTCCCTCACGAGTTGATTTTGAGATGGCATGGACCGCTTTTCGTTGGTTGTTGAAAGCAGAACCCACAAGCGGTTTTGTGAATGCATCTGCCTTGTTCTCGAGTGATGGGGTGTACAATGCTTTGATTGATTTGGCCTCTACAGCTTCCTTGACGAATGCATACCTAATTCCCATGTGCTTAACATTGCGTAATCCTTGAACTTCCGATGTCCAGGCAATCGTTCCCGAATTGTCTTGATTCACAACTGCCGACCCGTGGGGTGTCACGTCCAACTCAACAGGTACCCTTCTACACCAGTTCACATCTCTAACACATTCCGAAAGGGCGTAGAATTCCGCTTCCGCAGTTGAGATAGCAACGGAGGGCTGTAGTTTTGACGTCCAGAACAGGGTTTCCACCAATGGTGAGAACAATTCCAGATCAAGATCTGCGCTTGTCTTGGTCTCTTGCCCAGTCAGCGTCGCTCCAAGCCTCAAGTTGGTTTCCAGACCCAGCCCGGAACTGTAGCCCATACTCAGTTGTGCCCTTTAGATACCTCAGAACATGCTTCATAGCATTCCAATGCCTTGGTGCTGGTGCGGATTGAAACTTTCCCAACATCGACACAACAGTAGCCAGATCCGGTCTCGTGCGCGTGCTCAAATACAATAGGGCCCCTAGTATGCTGTTGTATGGAATGAACTGCATTTCATGTTCCTCCTTCGGCGTCAACGGGATTCTCTTCTCGTACAAAACATGAGAAATGGGAAGTGGAGAAGCTACTGGCTTACAATCTGACATTCGTGCTTTTGAGAGAAGTTTCTGGATAAGTGGCCTTTGAGTCATGATTATCCCGTCTTTGTCGTCACTTTCAATGGAAACACCAAGAAAGTGAGTCAATTGGCCAAGGTCTGTGACATTGAAGTGCCTGATGGTTCTGGTGCGACGCGCGACGTGTGGTGGCATGTAAAGGACGGGGAAAGGTAAGGGAGAACTCAACTCGCGTACGCTTCTCTCTCCTGGCTAGTCTATGGGCATGGTGATGCCCCCCGCCCTCGTTTCCAGGACGGGGCATTTTTTTAATCGGCCCCCAGACCTCTGCGCCTTGCGCTTCGAGATCTTCCTGTCTCCTGATCCCCGCGTGTCTCGAGAAATAATTCGCCCGCCAGTATCGGCCTACTGTCTCCGGTGGCGCCTCTAGAAATATGCTACGGGATCTAGACCTAGCTAAACACCTGAACCTGCCTTGCAGGTGCAACAGCCCCCCCACAGACAACTCTGCTGAAGCAGTGTTGTTTGGGTTCTGGTTAGCAGTGTTTAGCAACCCTCTTCTGACGCAGAGAGCCTTTGTCCCTTTGCTCGGCTAGGAAATCGTTTAGCACAGCTGGCACGTCCTCTCGCATAACTTCGAGGTTTTCCCACGCAGGATCCTCGTCTTCGAAACCACTCCACGATATCAGTACCTGTGGTTCTCTTTCATAGATCCTTATGTCGAGTAGTTTCTCGACGACACAGTACTCCCCGTCTTGGAAAGCTAGCTGCTCGAGTACCTCGGTTGTAACTTCTAGGTCCTTATTGCCGAAAAACATGAGACGCGTTCCGTGACAAGTAGACTTCTTCCCCGAGCGCAAATCTTCTACCTCATACAGGAAGTCTGAGAGCACCTTGGTTACGCGGAATGGGCCGCGCCAACAGAACGAAAGCTTTTGTCTCTGCCTCTTTTCGCTAAAGCTACGGAGTACGAAGTCGCTGAGGTCGAAGTTGCATTTGCGGACGTGAGTGCGCCGGTTGTGCCGATTGACCTGTTCTTCCCGTGTCTTAGTCACCCGCTCCTGTACATCGCGATGCATTGCGTCCAGAGCTCCCAGGAGCTTGTCGAGCTTCATAACTTGCCTAGCGCGCACTTCCTCGATATTCATCATCCGTACGTGTCCGTTGTCCTCGACCTTGACTACCCGTAGTGGCGAGTCCGCCGGCAGCCCGGTAAATGCCGTTAGTGGGCATCTACCTCCCAGGCGCGCGAGCGGAGTGTTGTTGAGAACAGACTGTACCAGGGGAAGGACCGAGGGCCACATTCCGAAGTGGATTTGAAACTCCGATGTGAGCGCCCGCAAATCCCGCAGTAGCTCTCGGCATACCACTTCTACCGTGCCGTTAGACCACGGGCAATAGGGCAGTGTGAAATGGTGGGATCCTCTAAGCTTCTCACTCAGTCCTGCGACAACCTCGTTCTTGAAGTGGGATCCTCTGTCTGATACCCACTGCATTACGACCCCGAAGGAGGAGAACCACTCCATGAGCGCATCGACCGTTGAAGCGGCGTCTGCTGTCTCGAAGAGGAAAAGCCACACGAACGAGCTGAAGTCATCCTTGAGTATCAGAACGTACAGGAAGAGCTTGTCACTCTTGCCAATGTAGCAGTAATCGAAATGCAGGATCTTGTTGGGGGCTTCCGCGTGAAGGCTGTGTCCCATTGGTCGGGGTATGTTCCTGCCTGTAGCTGTGCATGGGCAGTGCAGGCAGGACTTGACGAACGTCTCTACGTCTTTGGCCATTAATCCCCAGTGGAAATGTTCTCGGAGGGCTCTCGTGGTCGGCCAGATCCCTCTGTGTCCCCCTCGACCGGTATGCGCTGATATCAAATGTCGCATACGTAGGAGGCCGCTGTCGGCTGGGACCCAGAAAACACCATCCTTGTCTTGGATGATGTTGTCCTTCGCCTTAAAACCCTGAGGGGGCTTCTCTTTTGTTTCCTCCGTGCCTTGTCGAATTCACTTCGGGTCGGCCAGTCGTATTCGGCCTTAGTCTCTGGGGTGATGGGAGCATAGAATAAACTCGCAAGCTTAATGCACTTGACTCTGGTCCTAGGCCTGACAGCCCAGCGCGTGAGAAGGTCGGCCCATACATTGCGCTCCCCCGGGAGGTGTTCGATGACGTAGCAGTACACACTGAGCTTGAGTGCCCACCGCATGAGCTTATTCGCGGTGTGTCTACTCATCCCGGGGTTCCGTCCGTACGGTCGAAAATGTACACAAGGTTAGCGTGATCTGTGTACAAAGAGACCTCGCCTGCTGCTGTGAAATGGACGAGCCTTGTCATTGACTCCACCACCGAGAAAGCCTCCTTCTCCACGATACTCCAGTTTGCTGACGCTCCTATGAAGGATCCGGAGAGAAACGCGAGTGGTTGATGATCTTGATCCTCTACGTCCATATCCGTTTGCTCCTGAGGTACCTGTGTGAGCACAGATGCCCAGTGTGTCTCGGACGCGTCTGTGAACAGACAAAGCCTGTGATCGAGCTTTGGATGTGCAAGCTTGATTGACTGGTCTATATGAGATTGGACCTGGTTGAAGGCGGAGTCCTGTGTAGCCCCCCATAGTCCAGACAATGAGATGTTCTTCACTGCTCTTTTGGTACGTTTCTTTGCCTTGCTGTAGCATTGTTCCATGAGCTTGTGTAGGGGGGAAATGGTGCTCGAGTATTCTGGTATACTTTTCCTCATCCAATTTGTTGCGCAGAGAAACTGCTGGAGATCCGAAGTGAACTCCGGCTTACGCATGTTCAGGAGTGTGTTCAAATCTCTCGGGATGTATCGTATGCCACTCGCGTCGATGATTCAACCGCAAAATTTTGCCTCCTTCAGAAACAGCTGGCAATTGTTGGCGTGCAGCTTCAGGCCGTACTTGCTGCACTGTCCGAGAAACTTCAGTATTGAGTGCAATAGCTCCTTTTCGGCGTGCGCGTGCATGGGAAAATCGTCCAGCCACTGAATGATCCTGTCAATGACCTCGCTAAAGATCGAAGAGGTGACGCTCTGAAAATGGTTCCCGGCGTCCGTTTGTCCTTGCAGTAGGCGAACCGGGGTGTAAACTCCGAGTGGAGTCTGGATGGACAAGCATTCCTGAGAGTCCTTGTGGAGGGGTATCTGCCAGTAGGCATGGCACATGTCCACTTGCGCGAAACAGGTGCTTTCAGCTGTGCTATGTATCATCTGCTCGAGTTCCGGCATAGAAGAGACGATCGGAATGTTTTCGCTGTTGGGTGCTCGGAGGTCGACAGTAAAACGGAACGTGTCCGAGCCCGGTTTAGGGACGGCTAGGGCAGGGCTTGCCCACCGCGCCTGGGGGTTGTGCTTAATAGCGCCAACGGAGCTCAATTCCCGTACTGCAGCTGCAATGAACGCGTGTTGCTTGGGCTGGTACTTCCGTTGCTTGGCACGGACCGGCCGGTGATTTTCCTTAAGCTTAATCCTCATAGGCTCGACCTTTGCCGGGGGATCCGCGCCCAGGTTGATACGGAAAACGTCTCTGAACTCCTGAAGCATGGCTTCCACTTTCTTCAGCCCCCGCGTGGACATTCCGTTACTTTTCGCCTCTTCGACCATTCTCCCTAGCGCCTCCTGGATGTCGTTCTGGTCTACGACGCTGATCTTAGCGCCGGCAGATTGTGGCAGGCCGATTGAGTCTTCCTCGGCCTGGTTGTACCCCAGTGCCTTATAGGGAACGAGAGCGGCTGTCTTGCCCTGTTCGTCCGGAGCGTGATATTCATCCCCGGCTTGAGCCATGAGGTCGCTTACGTTCGCGTCGTTATACTTGTGACGTACCCTCTCCAAGTGTGTCTCCAGGTTGAAACTCAAGCACTTGAGGAGCGGACGGCCCAGCAGGACCTCATCCATATCTTGGTCAATGACGAGTAACTCTACCTTACGCAGCCGAAGCAGTCCACAAGGTAGGCACACGGTGACGTTGAAGGATGCTTTAGCGGACGCAGTGATAGACCCTGGTTTCAGGTCGACTGCCGGAGACAAGTGAATTGGTTTGTCGAACCGCACTAGCTCCACGGCCTGGCCTGCCTCCAGAAGGCCTTTTGTCACCTTCAGGGGGAGCGCTGACTCGTCCGCGCCGTAGTCGCCCAGCGCAATAACTTCCACCGTGTCGTTGATCACTGCTTGCCACCTGCCGTCTCCCAACACGCTGCGCCTGATCGAAGCGGCCTTCGGTTTCTTCCTTGTGTCGAAGTGATCCTTGAGGAGCCTCCGCTTGTCATCTTCTGTTGTGTCTTCACAGTCCACCACACGGTGGGTTTTCTCGCAGCGCGGGTTGAGGCATTTCTGCGTCCTTTCGATCGACTTGCGCTTCTTCGGCTTCCTGGACAGCCTTTGGTTGTTGTTGCGAGAGCCTAAGGGTTTGTCTCCCCCTTTGTCTTCAGGCGTGGTCGAGTTGTATGCCCTATCCCTTGATTTGCGGTCCCTCTTTGGGCGCCTGTCGGATCCAGGGAACTCCTTGTTACTTGACGGACCTCGGTGCTCGAAGTAGGACGCGACCTCCGTGAACACGCTGACCAGAACTACGTCAGAAGCAGCAAGCGGCCGTCTGCAGCTGTAGGGTGAATAAAAAAGGAGTTTCGCCCAGGCAGCCTAGGAGTCTGCGCCATAATGTGGTTACAAATGTACTCGAAATTCTGAAAGCCACCCTCGATATTCTAAAAACCGTAGCCCTGCGGCTGCGAAACTCGAAATCATGTGCGCTGCAGCTGAGAGTTGCCACGCTGGAGGCAAAGCGTGCTAATGAGTTGATGCTGTATATTGACACGTGGATACATGTCGTACACTTGTAATTCTGATCTCTGATGCTGTTCTGGACTAATCCAACATTACAGTCCGATATT